GACTTTGAAAGATAGTAAATCTTATACCTGATTATCCAACTGGTAGAGAGCGATAAGACAGCCCCGGTTGCCTATACACAACCACGGTTCCGAGAAAAGCCCGCACTACCTGGCAAGAATAACAGGTCTGTAACGCATCCCCAGCGAACGTGTAAATTGATTCTTGGTAGGAAGTCCCTGCCTCGACGTCCCAGAAATGGACAGAGCTGTCTTCGCCTGCGTGAGTGATGCTAGGCGCGAGTGGCTCAAAGAACAAAGGCGCTCACCCCCCACGAGGAGTACTCGTCCATTAGGGCAAAAGGCCAGCGCATTGGGCGCATCACTTCCTGTTGTCTGTACGGTGGTTTTGTGTTTGAATACGTGAGCCATAAAGTTGGGAGCAAGTAGTAAACACTGATAAGTACTTTCAGATCTCCGTAAAACGTTCCGATCAAACGAAGCGGTGGCTCCTGCGGTGCATGATTTCATAATTGATTGATCAGCCAGCGATCGCGAGTCGGCAAGGTATGTACGTAGAGACTCTAGAGAGCGTTGCACCGTACACGCGACGGATGCGCGCTGCGTCCGATCCGATCCGACTCGTCACGTGCCCGAGACTCTTTTGGAAGCACGCTCCTTTCATCTTGCCTTTGGGTCTGTGCGACTCGAAAAATGACGCTACTTCCCAGCGTCTTTGTTCTTGCTGCATGTGCGTCCCTCCTTACTCCCCGCACTATCAATTCTTGCATTATGACCAATAACCGTGCCTTCTTGCCCCATAGCTCTCAGGTGCCCTCAATCCGTTTCTCTTCGCGTTTGTTTCATTCATGGGGCTAGACCATCGATCGTCTTATCCCTGCAAGACTGTACTGCACAAGACGCAGAGGACCCACACCAGTGAATGTTCTAGTTCGATCTTCACGCGTGAACGGCCCCGCATGCCACGTTATGCCATGCCCGAAGGCCTTTTTGCCGACCTGCACATACAGCCTCACGTACATGACCTATCGGTCTTGATCACTCGTCGAAGCATCCAAACCAAGTTCCGCGTCTACTTCCGGCGTCACTGCCGCCTCCCCAGGAACGCAACTAGGCAGGGGATCAGAGGGGAGGTTCTCTTTATGCGTGCAGGCAAGCAATGCAAAGACGCTGTAGTTGGGCTACGCGCTGGTGACCCTTTACTTATTACTTCCATTCTCAAGCAGTGCGTCCGTTCTTTTCTCCGGTGTTTGTCCGTTGAACCGTTGCTCTAGGATTGTGCAAGACATTATCAATTTCCAAGTCAATAATAGGAAGCTCCCATCTCTCATCGAACTGCAATACCAAGCCTAATCCCATCTCTGTTTGAATCTCTGCCTAGACTAGATTGCTGTTGTAATACTTGTGCTCATACTTTTCAAAATGTCTTTCGTCTTTGTTCGAAAACCATGCATCACTAAGGAGAATGTGCGAGAAAACGTGTCAAAGTGAGCATGCAGCGCCTCTTCAATATACACTCATTTCTACATCCTCATCTTCATCCTCCTCGCGGTCGTCTCCTGCTCCGACAAAGCATGAGTCGGTGGCAAGGGACTGAGATGCATTCAGCAACATCGCCAGTTTTTCCATGTCGTACATTCCTCGCACCTTTCGTAATGGAACCACAATCATGCCTTCACAAAACGATCCGTCGACAGTTACCAGTCCTTTCATGTCGCAACTTGCAAAATGTCCTTCGATCTGCTCAAGAGTGAGCACGACACCCTTATCGTCAGCTTCTAGGTCACGGCTCCAGATCTTGCCGCCGAAGTCTGGATACTTCAAGAATGGATCTTGAAGCAGGCAAACTGGCCGATACGGACGACACACAACATACACCGGCTCGGCTCCAACTAAAGACTGGATGATGTGCTCAATGGCCAGGGGTTGACGTGTACCACCCGTTGTATAGTATACCGAGCTGTTACCACGGTGCTTGTGTCGGGTCAAGTACGAAAGGCCCTTGTACTTGACGTTGCTGAACGTCCGGTTCGCGAGAGGAAGTGTGATTTTCGACCGATGGAAAGCGGACGCGCAATCTTTGAGTGTGACGGGATGTTTGGAGCCCCCTGACTTCGTGGCGGAAACCCACGAAAGATTTGGTCGAATCTTAACTTCAGTTCGTTTGCAACGGGAAACACGGCACTACTCTCCAATCGATAGACGTTGGCCATCTGTTGATACCGTCTTCCTATGGTGATTTCATATTCGCCTGCAAACTAGTGAGTAAACTAACATGACATCAAAAGTGGTCGCACCAGGTTTGTAGTTGGTCTTGATCCTAAGCATCTTGCCATTCATTCGTTCGAACGGATACGCCCACCATCCATGCACGGGTCCAAACAAACGCAAGAAATGGGGGATGTGTAGAGCAAGATGGTGGTTGGGATGAGCCGTGTACTCGGGGAAACAAGCGTGGAGTGCGGTTCGATACTTGAGCAGATGATTTTGTACTTTTGCGTCGTTTCCTTGTATCATTTTTCGCGAAGAAGCCAGATCCACGGCAGCAATTAAATGCATGGTCATGTCCAAGAGCCCCTGACGTTGCAACGTCGAATCGGACCATAGTCGTATGAGAGTTACCGGGATATACACCATAGCCAATGCTCGCCATTGATCTGCCTTCAGCTTCCCGTGTTGTGCGGATCCATAGTTGCGAGGCACTGATGACACCCAAGACGGTGTGTGCATGGCAGCGATGTCTGCCCAAAGTGCTTTCATCTCTCCTTTGGTGATGACATGGCCGATTTCGAGTCGACCATCATCCCTACTGGGCACAGTCTCTACCTGCTTGCGGCGCTGCGGGGCTTCAGCAATGGTATATGAACAACGAGTTACTGCACTCACCCAGCTGATGAGCTCGTCAACAAGTTTCGCTTTTGAAAGAGCTTTCTTTGACGATTGATGTAGAGAGTTAAGTAAGGCAGGTACTTCACGCTCTGTAGGACAGCCTAGACCTCGGGCCACATGCACAAGCGCAGACTTTGATAAGTTAATCAACTTTCTATGCAGCTCGGCTTCGTCGTCATCGTATTCCAGCTCGGCATTCGAGATCGTCTCAAGAAAACGAATCGCATCCTGTACTTGGCCTGCGTCCTTCTCAGAGATCAGGAAGTCGGTGGGACTGAGAGATATCGATAGTCTGTGCACGGCGGGGCCATCGTTGGCTTTTTCCGAGAACCCGAGGACTCTACGGAAAGTCTCGTGAAGGAGACCGAGGAAAAGATTGTGCATAGGGTCGACCACAATCATCTTCGTCGGCTCGAAGTATGGCAATCGGAGGAACTCCGAAGTGCGGACCCCGCTACTATTGAAACAGGCCTGCGCCTGAGTGGGATGAGCCGCGTTCCGATACGCCTGGGCCGCAGCTTGCCATTCTCCGTCCATCCTCAAAGGCCAGTCGTCAACTCGGATGTCATTGTAACCCACTCCACGACCAGTGTATTGGTTGGCGGCCTTGTCTCCCTGCGCTGCCTTGCGCTCTTCAACAGTATCACGGGTGCACTTGCAGACAGTACAGAAATGCGTGTGCGACGCACTCGCAAACCCCGAAATCTTTCGAGCTGCCGGAAGATCACAAACAAAAGCGACAATCGCGCATCGTACGAGCCGGCCCAACGCATATTCGCATGTCTTCGTGAATCGTACGCCGCAGTGCCAGAGTCTGACAAAACAGTCGACGAGTGGTGCGAAGTACGAATTGGTCGCATCCAGCGGCGGTTCGTTGGGCCCTGGAATGATCCCACAGAGAAACATGTTTTCCGTCCGGTACCGCTCTTCGATGGGCAGATTGAGACAGACGAGGGAAAAGGCGCCGACGGATATCTTCTTCCCGGACTGTCTCGCGCCCAGTGGATTGAAAAAGTCGAAGTTAAGTGAGAATATATAACGTCCTTCCCCATCCTCTGACGGAACACTGAAGTGATGTGCCTTGTCAGGGCCCTTGAAGTTTCGGACAAAGGAGCCGTCCAGAACGTCCGTGAGGTCGACGGGTTCCGCGTTCAGGCGATCCCAGCTTTTGTCCATTTTCTTCTCGTTGCCGGGATGAGCGAGGAAGCGAGCCAACCAGTCGACGAAGTGGAATTCGATGAAGGGTCGGATAGGTACCGTGGTTTCACGACCGTAGGCATGTCGTGGTTGCAGCAAGGGCGTGTTGCATTTGCGACCTTGCCTGTCCCGTTTCACACAAATCGAAGGATATATCATTCCCGGGCCCTCGCCCTCCGGTCGATGTGTATGATGGCATGCAGGGCAAGATGCGTGAATGGTATATGCCGTGTCGAGATTGAAGTGTTCCTGCATGGTTGGGACGTCCCTGAACTCTTGTAGAGCAGGGGAATTGGAAGTTCCAAGCCCACGGCGAACAATATCTTGGGTCGACATCATGACCCAAAGGCAACCTCGACGAGAGATGTGCAAAAGTGTGGAGCAAACAACAATCAAATAGAAGATCATCTGCATCCACACTGCGACATCGCGGAAGAGCGGTTCGTGATAATGGCCTGAGTATGTTGAGATTACATGAAGAAGAACCTCCAGTGACGGCAGCCACACACCAGTTTCAAAAGTGATGTCTTCAAGGTCATTACGACTCGGCTTGATGCTTGCGGAGGCATTCTCCCAGGATTGCTTGACGGTCATGGCGTCATTCCATATCTCATCGAGCTTGAGCATTGCTTGATGAATCAGCGATTGCGCCGCCGCCTCCTTGTGGGCATTGGAGGCTACCTGGAAACGGGCCTGAAGCTGGCGTACTTTGGCGAGGTGGCGATTGATCCGTCCGATACCGACTTCCAGCGCTGCCAGGTTCAGGCCGGGTTGAGGAGGACACAGCGCATCCATTTCAATTCGTAGTTCTGCCACTTGTTCTGCCTCTAATGAGATTGAAGCCACCGCCCTGTACTTGTGCTGAACATGTGTGGAAAAGCCTTCGACCCGTATTGGTGGAGGCAAGGCACCGCCGATCGCAGCCGTCGCCCCAATTCTCGCTTGCTCTCGTTCATGAACTATGGCGGCAGCAGCGAGAACGCGGGACTCGCTCAGCACATTCTCTGTCCGAGTCGGCAAGTTGGAAGGAAGATTCGTCAAATTAGGTGCAGCAGTCTGACGTCGATGTTCGGCTAAGGACCTCGCCGTTCGAAAACCACGCGGAGCCCCTGACGCGCGGCAACTGGCACAATCGCAGGTAAATTTGTCTTTCAACTTTCGTGCTTGGGATGTCGCAGGATCCGGAAGTGGCGGCGGAGGTGGCTCCATGGCGCATATACAGGGTTTTAGAGTGAAGTGTGTTGAGATAGTCGAGTCGAGAGAGAGGCTACGATTATGGGGCAAGCCAAGGATGTGTGGTGGCTAATACCGAACTGAATTGACCAATTATAAGTGGCTCGGAAGTTGGAACTCCCGACTCCAGTCGATAAGAAATCAATCAAAGACACACAGACGCACGCGTCGATGGTCACGCGCGTTCTCATTCCAATCTCTTCTCCCTCATGTCCACGCCTCCCGGTCAAACGATTCAGACTCCTGCGGACGCCACACATGATGCCATGACCAATTACTACACCATTCAAATAAAGAAGTTGGAGAGTGAGGAGACCTCACTACGAACAGTGAAACGCAGTACTTTCTACCATTCATGGTACTGACCTGTTTCAGAATATCGCTGCAAGCGCCGCAAAATTGAAAGACTTGGAGGAAAAGGTATGCGCAAGTAACATGTGCATACCTGCGCTAACAACCCTCTAGATCCATGCCTTCGAAAATGCTCCCTCACCAGAGCTGCAGCTCCAGGCTATTCGTGAAAAGGTCCATAATTTGGTGCGTCCGTGGGCCACTGCTTAGGTCGGGTTCGGTTGATGGTCCCAGGATCAACAATACGTCCAACAAAAGCGCCAGATGTCAGCTCTCCAAGCTGAACAACTCCAGTTGGAACAACGATTACATACGGCAAGGAGGTTTGACTCGGACAAGCGCACACGCTCATCTTGTTATAGGACGATCGTCTTGTGGGTCTCTCAGCCAACACAACATGTCTGGAACAGGCTAGGCTCAGTTCCATTTGCCCTAGAGTTCTTCTGAACTCCAGGTAGTTCTCTGCGCATGAGACGACGCTTACAGACTGGATTTCTGAATTGAAGACCAAAGTGGGTGATCTCGTCTTGGATCATTTGGTTGGCTAACTTTCGTTATGAGGTGAATGGAGAATTGGAAACCCTGCAAATTGCGCATCGAGCCC